ATTTAATAATACAATGTAAATACTTCCTGACATTTAAGAATGGTATTTCAATTACAAAAATTAATGATTTTTAAACTGTAGCTGTGTAGTTTGCTTTTGGAATAACACGTGACAATGAACTGCTTAGTTTCATTCCTTTATTTCAAGAGACCATCCAACTTAACAGCCATACCAAATGTGAAATACAAGTGTATATATAAAAAAATCAATAGGGAAAAATATCTCTTTATTTTTATTGTAAAAAAAAAAATCTAGAAATAAAAGGTTAAGAGTAATTTTCATATTTTAAAGAAATGAACAAAATACTGTATGTTTCCAATCAAGCAGAACAATGGCAAGACCCAACATAACAGAAGCTTTAATGACAAACAAAATCCAAACAAGCCCAAAATTAGTACAAGGAAACCAGAATTAAAAAAAAAAAAAAAGGAAGGCACCATACAATAACATGTATTTTTAAAGACTGCTGGGTCAAATCATTAAGAAAAATATTTATATAAGCCATTAACACTCATAATTAGAGTGTCATATGAATCTGAGTGAAGCTGCTAAGTAGAAATCACTAGAAGTCCAGGTGCTTCTTGCCGATGGCCATAGCACCACATCCTGAGCTCAGCAGTTTGGCGGATTCTGCCAGATCCTGTTTGCTTGTGCAGCTCACTGTGTCTGACAGGTCTGGAGGCAAATGCAGTTGCTGTGGCAGGAGGTTTTCAGGAGGCAGAGAGATGGGGAGAGAGAGAGAAAGCGAGAGAGAAAAAAAAAAACAGGGAGGGGGGAAAAAAAAAGAATAATTGCAGTAGAATTTATTTTGCACAACATGTTTCAAAACGCAGTCTTTTTCCTGACTGCTCCGTGTTTACTCACACAAATAAAGCATCTCCTAGACACCCTTCTAGGCTGAGCTGGAAAGAGTTTTGTACGTTCTCAATATATTGTATTCTGTAAATTGGAATAAATATTTCCTCATGAAAATTTTCTAAACAAAATCCAAATTTGCTCAAGGTATGTCATTGTAGCTGTGGGCACTTTTCCTGGAAAAACAAATGTTTTGCCTGTACGTTAGCCCCTATATCAAATCCTTTGATTTCTATGGCATTACAATATTACAGTTTTATTGCAAACATGCATATTTAGTGACAGGGTCTGAAAATAAATGATGTGATGGTCAAAGGATGGAGAGAGCTCACCCTGGTTGCAGCACTATTCTGCTGGAGTGTTTCTTATTCATAATCTACTGTCATTTTAAAATAAAACCGAGCAGTGATAGTGCTTGCAATTGTATAAGGCACTCATACATGCTAACCAAACCTCACCGTCCTTTGTGAGTTGTAGGAACATCACGTCCATTTTACAGATGAGGAAACTGAGACACAGGTTACACGGCTGCCCACAAGCACACAGTCCTTGCAGAATAAACCTTATTTTTCAACTATGACAAAAATATTTCAACTCTCCCTCTGAGGATTCTTTTACACTAGAGGGATGTAAAAGACGTAACATCCGCGTTTGGCTTTTGTAAAGGAAGGTGAAAATGAATTTACTTGATTAATTCCTGGCTTGCTTTTGGACACGGTGAGGTACTGAAAGCTGGTCAGATGGGACAGTTGAGCATCTTCCACACAGTGTAATAATTTATGAAACTAGTATCATGAAGGAGCATATTTCTTGAAAGATTTATTAGGAAAAGGCTAACCTGCGTGGCTCTTCTTTTAGAATAAACACGCTTCAGAAGGGAACAGGATAACAGTAATGGCTGCAAAACTATCGTAGAAGGCTGTGCTCTCGCTTATTCTCTGCTATTGCTGTGGTTTTGTTTTTATCACAACACGTAAATACAGCTGCCTTTTATTCGATACCTCTGCACCTTTTGTAGGATAAGAATTCAGTTAAAAACCATAAGAAATATCTGTGTTTACAGTGGACTGACTGTTCAATTCATTGCTGGCTTTGAGACTGTGCAATTAGGCATAACTTGAGAGGTGCTCCAAAGCGCTTCCTACCACTGGCCACTCCTGGTTGTGGGCAGGGCAGGGACAATAACGTCTGCTGGGTTGTTGCTTTCTCTGAGGGAAGGAAATGCATAAAGTAAGGCATGTGGAATAGGAGAGGCTGTGCTCAAGGTGACATGACATACCCCAGTGTCGAAATAGCAGAAATGTGTGTGTTTCTTTGTAGTATATCGCCTATGATGCACAATTTACGTATGAAAATCCACCCCCCCTATTTAGTGACTGTGCAGCTCTTGTATTTCACTGTGCTGAGTGCTGTGCTATCCTTCACCTACAGTTCTTCCCTTACTCCTAAGGCTAAGCACGGCTGTGGATGTGAGCTGTGGTCCATGATGCCGCATTTCCACATCAACACAGCATGAACTAGGGCACCTGCCTATCTGGTTTGTCTGCTGAGAAAAACGTTTGCTAGGCAAGAGCTGATGTCCAACTTGGATAGCACAGGGGGGCTGTAGCCACTGGAAAATGAAGGATGAGAAAAAGTCGGGAGGTGGAGAGGAGCACTCGGCAGCTCTTTCAATCACATTTTCTTTCCAAAAAAGTGTACAGTACTCTGCTAGCAGGGTACAGGGTGGCTGGTATGTGGGAGGCGGATAGACAAGTGAAAGTGAAATAATCCAACCTTCTCCCACTCGCTATTAGCATCTCTCTGGCCTCACCGGGGAGTGGGAGAGGCAGCTTCCTCCAGGGGAAATGTAGTACCGCTGTCTTCCTCCTGCAATCACTGACCTCTTTGCCAAGTCTGCCAAATGGATTCAGAGCAAGGTGATAAGGAGCAAACAGAACCAAGACTCAGCAAACTCATCTTACGCAGGGACTAACCAACATCACGAATGGGGAACAATTATAAACCCTGACACACTGGCCTGGATTTAAAGTGTGGCCAAAAGGAAAAAAATCTTTGACATTCATAGAACCTCTTATGTTCATTCACTGACATATGTTATAAACAGAAAATAAATATAAAAGAACAACATACATTTGCAAAGACTCAGATGGGAAAAGTAAAGATTAAAGACCTGACACTGGATGGTGGGACTGAATGAAGCTTTTACAGATGTGTTTGTCATGATGCAGTGTTTCATTACACACACATATAACTCTACTTCCCCATCCCATTCAGTGAAGAGGATGCACACTGCTCATTTAGTGACTGGCTATTCAGCATTTTGCTTTCTCGTCACTGTTTACTCTGAACTTTTCTGACGTATTTATTGTACACTATTCCAACCTTGTTCTGAAGACAGAATGGCTTTTCAATAGCACATGTCCGTATATAGCACTTGAATGCTTCGCAAATACCAACTGTGTTATTTTCCTAATATTCTCGTGAGGTAAGGCAGCAAAGTTACCTCCATTTTATGGATAGAGAATTTAAGGCACATAAAAAACACAGGAAAAGGTATCTACTAATTTCAGAAACACAATCTGAGGCATTTAGGACTTGTTTTTCCAGAATGTTTAGCATTGTACAGCGTTTCACATGATCAGACACTAACTTCATTTGCAGCTGTGAGCGCTAAGTATTTCTTCAAGAACCCCAAGCAAAGCACTTGGAAAGTGAGACTCAAAATAAGAGTACAGAAATAAAAATGCTGGATTGAAGCTCAGTGGTATAGGCAGAGACACATCACACCTTCCAAGATATCCTTCCATCGTCTTAATTCCGAGACCATCCCTCCTGCAATCCTTGCTCTCTCAATCATCCCAATTTTCCAACGTTACAACAAATTGCTGGTTCTCCAGGAAACATATTGTTTCCAATATGCACGCCATATTCAGCCTCAGATCAGAATCAGACATGTTCTGAAGAATAAACACCACTAGGGTCCTCTGAACACAACTGAATGTTATCATGCCATTAAGGTGTGAATGAGAGCACACACAGTCTCTGAATAAAGCCTGAAGAGGCATTTCAAAGCATCATTCCTTAATTTTTCTGTGTGCACTTAAAAATATAAACAGGCCTGCAAGTATCAGTCCTATTAAAGATTTTGACACCATTAACAAAAATCTAAACTTTAAACCGCAAACACACTGAAGCTGCTCACGTGGCATTAACCAGCCACGCGCAGGTTAAACAACTGGCCTTTATTTTTGGCACCAACAGGGACATTGCAGTCACCTGAACTAAGGCAGTAAGTGAATAGGCTGTGATCCTTTTGAACACAGCATTACAGAACGATCAGACATTTTCACAGATGTTTGCTGAACACAAAGGAACAGTCACATTTAAAGTCCCAGTTTAGGACAAAATGTTTTCTGGTGGCCAGACTTCTCTGCTATTTCTGAGGCTGTGACCTCCATCCCTTTCAATCTTTCTTTCTCTTATCAGTCTGATAAGAATCAGGTTCGTTTTTCTCACATCAGCAATCCCAGTCCATGCTGCCCAGGCCTCCCATCCTGCAACTGGTCTTTATGACAAAACCATCCCTTGTCCAGGTATCTGCACTCCCCAGTCTCAGCTTTCTGCTTCCGAGCTCTCTGTTCCTGCTCCAGCCAGTCCTGGCTTCTCCTTGCCCATTATGCCCATATTCCATTCCCTGCTCCCATGCCTAGGTCCAAATTCAGTGCCAGGTCATACTTCCTTGCCTCAGCCCCTTGTCATCCTTATCCCCTATTGTGTCCTCCTCTTCCCATCTCATCTGCTCTTGTTTCTTCTGCCGGCACTGAGCTCTGTTCCCCCTTCCTGCCCCTGCCCCTCTCCTCTGCCCCAGGGCCAGGGTGTGCCTGAGCACAGGCACCAGCTCACCTCCCAGTCGGAAAAGCAGGTACATCCCTGGAAATGGGTCAAGCTGATAAGGCACTACTGAGTGTGCCTGCGCCAAACAGAGGTGGATTGTCACAGGACAGCAAAACCATAGCCCTGGCATAAATGCTAGATATAAAATTGTGTATTTTAATTGGTTCTTTTAAATAATTGAAGGTTTTCACTAAAACATTCCAGTGTGTGGCTAAACACAAAACTCTCTGGAGCATACAGCAAGCTGGCAGGGCAACAATATTTTAATGCAAAATGGTCATAGTCTGGCAAAAGTAAATATGCAAGTGAAAATACCATCCGATAATCGCCCTCCTCATGACAATTTCTTCAAGCCTATATCAAAGGAAGGTAAAGTTTCCCAGTGTAAAGGCTAGGGAATGCTGGAGTAAACTTCCTTTGTGCAAAGTTAATTGTAGCTAATTACTGTAGTGTGTTTAATTACATGGTCATACGCTATTTTCACCCGTGCAGGCTGTCAGAAAGGTTCAAACAGGATCTTCAGAACCAGACTATAAGCTTCGCTCACTCGAGGAAGAAATGACTGGCTGAGGAAGTGGGCTGTTACTGCAGAAGGCACAGCCAGGGAAGGGGCAGGATGTGAGTGCTGGTGCTTCCCGTCTGCTCTGTTTCGGCAGGGCCCGGAGGCTTTGTGGTGATCGGAACAATTACGCTGAACCCAGCTAAGCACACAGCTCTAGGGCATGCATTACGAAAGGAAAACAGTTCAGACAAAACTTATTACATACTTTGCTTCTGCTCCTCCCTCTGCCTGAAGAAAACTTCTAATTACTTTATTTGTTCTCAATGGGGGGGGGAAAAAAAGAAGTGGAAGATAAGAATATGTAAAACCACAGGCTAGAAGGGACACGTTAGTCCAGTCCCAGCGCAGAGGACCAAAGACAGCACTGATGGCTTTCTGAC